ATATGGATGAAGCTTCAGGTAAACTTCATCCCCTACATAAAATTCTCTGGTTGTTCTATGTTGATCTGAAATCTGCTTTATTCTATTACTAGCTTTAAGTAACTGCTCCCTTAGTAATGAATTTAATTGTTCTCTCTGTTGCATGACATCCTGTACTGCATCCACTATAGAATCTGCTGACCATGTTATATTAGGGGCTTGATAACCGTATAAAGCTTCGAATGGTGTCATTCGAAGGGCAGTGTGGTAATTAGTATTGTACCACCACTCTGCCTGAGCTAACCATTTTGACCAAGTCTTTGGCTTTAAAAAACACATGCACCTTAAATATTGTTCAAGACATTGATTGAGCCTCTCAGTTTGGCCATCTGTCTCAGGTTGATAGGCAGTACTGAATAATGTAGTGGTTCCCAACTGCTTCATTAATTCCTGCCAAAATAAACTAGTAAAAGATCTGTCTCTGTTAGAAATAGCTACCTTAGGAGGACCATGTAATTTATAGACTTGATCAAGGTACACCCTAGCAACTTCCACCACTGTATAAAGATGAGCTAATGGCATAAAATGAGCATACTTGGTGAATTTATCAATCACCACCAAAATGCAATTGAACTTTGGTGAGGGTGGTAAACCCTCAATGAAGTCCATTGTAATCATTTCCCATGCATTATTAGGAATAAGAATAGGCTGTAATAATCCTGGCTTAGAAATATACTCTATTTTGGTCCTATGACAAACTTTACACTACTGAATATGGTCTTGAATTAAAGTCTTCATTCTTGGCCAAAAAAATAAGACTTAATTCTTTAATAAGTAACCTGAATACCTGAATGCCCTCCTTGTGGTGAATCATGTAGAGCCACAATAATATTCTGTCTCAACTCCCCTTTGCTACCCACATAAATCTTGTTATTGAAATACAACACCCTTTTTACTAACTGTCAGTCTTGTATGATGTATGGTTGAATAACCAGAATAGGAATTTTTTCTTGAGCTATAACATCATCTTCATAACTCTTTTCAATATCATTCATCCAAGTAGGAGTTATAATTATGACTCCCATCTGTATAAATTCACCAGAATCTGTATGTTGTCTAGAAGTGCATCTGCTACCTTATTAGACTTACCATTCATGTACTAAATGGTATAATCCAACCCAAGAAACTTTGTAAGTCTTTTCTTCTGTATAGTTGTAGTTAACTTCTGTTCTATAAGATGTTTTAATGGTTCATGGTCTGTCTTGATTACAAAAGAGCCACTCTCCAAATACTGTCTCCAATGTGAAATTGCCATCAAAATAGCCAGATATTCCTTCTCATAAATAGAAAGATTTGTATGTTTAGGACCCAAAGCCCTACTCAAATAAGCCATAGGTCTGTCTGCTTGAGATAGAACAACCCTAATTCCTTTAGAACTAGCATCAGTTTCTAAAAAAAGTTTTGATCAAAATTTGGCAAAGCCAACACTGGAGCTTCACACATAACTCTTTTTAATTTTTCAAAAGCCATTTTAGCTTCTGGGGACCAATGAAACCCTTCCTTCTTCAACATATTAGTCAAGGGTTTACTTAATTCTCCATACCCTTTAATAAATTTTCTGTAATATCCTGTTAAACCTAAAAATCCTCTCAAAGCTTTCAAATTTTTAGGTAAAGGCCACTGTTGCATAGCCTTTATTTTAGCAGGGTCAGTTACTACTCCTTTAGTAGAAATTAGGTGTCCCAAATACTCCACCTGTTGCTGTCCAAAAAAGCATTTACTCTTTTTTGCATATAATCGATTCTTCAGTAGAATTTCTAACACCACACTTAAATGCTTCTTATGCTCTGCCATACTAGGACTGTAAATTAGAATATTATCAAAAAACACAAGAACAAACTTCCTTAAATATTCCCCAAACATATCATTCATCAAAGCTTGAAAAGTAGCTGGAGCATTATTAAGGCCAAAATGTATAACTTTAAATTCATAATCCCATTGGTGAGTCCTAAAAGCAGTTTTATGAATATCCTCTTATTTAATTCTGATTTGCCAATAAATAGATCTCAAATCAATCTTTGAAAAGAAATTAACCCCATGTAACTCATCCAATAAATCTTCCACTATAGGAATAGGAAATTTATTCTTAACTGTAGCAGAGTTAAGTTGCCTATAGTCCACACAAAACCTCCAAGTACCATCCTTTTTTCTAATAAGTAAACAGGGAGAAGTAAAAGGACTTTTTCTTACTTGTATGATAGAAGAGGATAACATTTGAGCAATCTGCTTTTCAACTTCAGTTTTATGATGATGAGCAAACCTATAGGGTCTTAAATTAACTGGTGGTGTCCCCTGTTTAAGAATAATGACATGATCATATTTTCTTCTAGGAGGCGCTCCTTTTGGCTCCTCAAACACTTCTTGAAATTCCTGTAATAAGTCTTGTAAAAATAGAGGAATCATACTGTCCTCAGCTTCAGCACTCAACAAATAAATTTCCCCACTCACTTCAGTATCTTTTTCAACTAATTTCTGAAACTTCTCACATGTAATAGGTCTTAGTACTGGTAACTTCTGAGTACCTTTTATCACCACAGTCTCCCCCTCCTTCTCAAAACTAATGGTTTTTGCCTTAAAGTCCATTAGAATAAGGCTAACTTCTTACATCCAGTCCGCCCCCAATACCATATCACTGCCTCCCAAAGATAATACTATGAAATCATACTGAAATTCATAACTTTGCATCTTCCAGCTCATCTTATTACTTTTTGTAGTATTAAAATGTTTTTCACTATTAGCTACTGTTATAGCTAAGGGTTGAGTCTGAACCACTTCCACCCCTTCCTTGGCCCATTTAGGTATCACAAAACTGTGGGTGCTACCACTATCAATCAACACATTAATAGGTTTACCTCTGATAAAACCTTGAATCCTCAAGGTAGTATGTCCCACATTTCCTATGATGGCATTAATAGAAATTTCCAATACTTCTTTTGCTATTTTATCCCTCTCCTTTTGTTCACCTTCTATCATTTCCTGTTCAGCAGAGTCTTCTTCTTCTTCCACGCAGTTCAACTGCCTGACTTTACACTGATGTCCTGGAACAAATTTTTCTCCACATTTAAAACACAAGTTATTGGTTCTTCTGTATTCCAATAAACTCTGTTTGATATTAGTAGTAGGAGGAATTGTCTTAGGCAAAAATCCCTTATTCCCACTGCTCTGTTGAATATTTGAGGGATTATAAGAAAAAAAATTGTTAGCAGATTTGTACTTCTTCCCTTCAACCTCATTAGCCAATTCATAAAGTTTTGTTTGCCTGTAAGCTTCAGATAAATTCTTGGGCTCTAACACCTTCACCTTATGCTTTAATTCCTCTTTGAGACCACTAATGAAGCTGGAAACAAAATAAGCCTACCCCAGATGCATGTTCTGTTGCAATAAGTAGGGTCTTAGCTCTTCAAATTTTTCTTGATATTCCTCTACACTCCCCTTTTACATCAACTTATTGAATTCTTCAATAATATCAGAATAGTTTCTATCACAAAATCTGTGACATAAATCAACCTCAAATTCATGCCAAGTAACCCTATACTTCTGTATAATGTAACCATCAAACCAGGTTTCAGCCTTCCCAGCTAAATACATAGCAGTTATTTCCAGTTTCTGCTCCTCTGGTATTCCAAACAAAATAAAAAACTTCTGGCATTTCCTAATCCAGCCCCTGACATTGTTACCATCAAACATTGGTTACTCCAATTTTGGTCTAGGTAACACATAATTTGTATTCCCAAAAGGGTTTTTACAGTAGTTTCTAGTGTCAACATGTTTATCTCCTCCCCCCTTACTCTCACTAGAACTACCCAAAGGCTTTTCTTCTTGTAACTTCTTATTAAAAGATTGAGGACCAGTAAACCCCACAGGTTTAGAAGCTAATATCCCTGGTTCATTAGGTTGAAAAGTGTATTTTTCATGCTCGCTAAGAACCGTAATTAAACATGGTGATTTACCTTCAGTTTTTTCTGTTTTTCAGCTGCTTGTGGTTGACTCTTCACTGACTGAGGTGAATCTTTTTCCTCAGCTGCTTGATTGACCAGCTGTAGGATTATCTGCAAATACCTTCTATTTTCAGTCATTCCCTATTCTAAGGTTTGTATCCTCCCTTCCAGCTCTTCTTTCTGCCCAGCCTACCAAGATAGTAAGGTCTCCTCCTTAACCTCCACTGCTGATTGTTCTGGTATCTCTGTGGTTCCAGCTTTTTGTATTTTTCTTGTCTTTCCCAGCGTGAAAAATGATTTTGGATCACTAAAACTCAGCTCTGATTACCAATTGTTATGATTTAGGACAGAAGAATTTTCTAGGGATTTAAGAAATAGAAGAAATATGTACAAAAAATGTGCTCATTCATTCATTAGATATTTCTCAAAAGATGTGGTACAGTTTTATATATTAACAAGTACCCTACAGCTGGCAGTACAGCCAAATAACAAAATAACTAACTCCCTGCTGACTCACCCATTTCAGTCCTTCCAACCCTCTACTTAATATTAGATTCGTAATACCCCAAATCCCACATGTGCCTATAATATTACTTAATTTGGGTTTAAATCCAATGGAGCCCAACTACACCCTTTACCCAAATAGACCCTGGCACGTTACTCCTCACCACGTGACATACCTCACATCTCTACTTCAGCCTCAATCTCTTCAAGTAACTTCTCAATCCCTAATCTCTTCTCAATCCCTAATCTATTCTCAATCCCTAATTCCTTTCGATCCTCCCCCAATTGTTGCTGCTTCATTCCCAATTTTCTTCTTCGATATTTTCCCAAATCGATTTCTTCAAACCCTAACTCACATTCCATCGTGATATTATATCAATGCAAATTGATGTCATTTTGGTGAAAATTTTATTTTTATAAAACAAATTCGTTTTAACGACGTTAACTATTTAACGATAGAGTGACAAAAAAATCAAATGTATTAAGTTTAGTGAGAAAATTGAACAGATTTAAAGAACAATGAGTGAAATAGGAGAGAAATTAAAGTTAAGTGATGATTCGTGTAATTTATCCTAAAGTTAAAGTTATATATTTATATTAAAATACAACTCTGGATTCCTTTACCTAATTTTGATTCTGTAAAACTATCTAAGCCAAAAATCTAAGTTCTCTTCATGTAAGAAAGTGGACCCCTCTTTTCTTTTTCTTCTTCTCCTTCCTTCTCACTCCGTCTCTTTCATAGAACCAAGGGGCTGCTTGTTTGAGGGGGAAAAACCTTTGAAACAGAACACACACAACTCTAAAGCAGTGTTCTTTCTCTCTCTTGTCTTTGGTGTTGTTGTTTTTTGGTTTGGTTTTTGTTTGAGCGGTTCAAAAAGAAAAGGAAAAGGAAAAGCTTTCGAATTTATATACACGTTAAGTGATTGAATTCGAAACGTTAAACAAAGACTTAAGCTTTAGAGAGTTATCAAAACATGTGGCTTTTGGCTTTGCGTGTCATAGAACATCAAAAGATCTGAAAGGCGGTTTCTTTTTACTGTCCTTCTTCTGGTTTCTGGGTTTTCTTTATTTGTTTCTGATTTCAGCCCGCATTTCTGGGGTTTATCGGACGAAATATGTTGTTTTTTGTTTGGTTTCTGCTCTGATCGTTAAAATATTTTTTTATTATTATAGAGTTCATATTTTTTTTTGAATTATTATAAATGTTTTGACAGCACTAAGTTGTCTTTCCATTGCAGGCAATGAGAATTGAGGCTTGGAATTATATTTATAATGTTGTTGCTCAAGGGAGCTGGAAAGTGTTTCCAAATAGCTTGAAATCTGTATGAATAAATGGATTGAATTTATTTGGATGCAATGTTAAAGGCATTAGCTCCCAGATTGTTGATTTCTTCGCTTATGTTATAGTTGTCCGCCGCCGCCGGCTTTCCTCGGTGTAATTACGACAACGAGGGGAGTTTTTTGGAGCACCGAAGGCATCTTAGAGAGTCAAAAAGTGACTGATTTCTTGATCGCCGTGGCGTATTTCTCGATCCCTGTTGAGCTGCTTTACTTTGTTAGCTGTTCATATGGGTACTCTTTCAGTTCATCGTCTTCATCGTGCTAGTGCGCCACCGCCATTACGCTTATTACATTCATTACCTTGCTTCTCAAGGTCAATGTGAGGGAAGGGTTTTAAATAGTGGTTCGAGACTGCGATAGCAGCTAAATGTCGCAATGCGGTAAACGAGACATGACCGAAAACGTGACCGTGACCGCATTTTGAATCCCTGTGTGAGGGAGCTTATGCTAAGGAAAAAAAGGCTCGGGAAGTTGGTATTATAATGAAACAAGGAGATCAGTAAATTGTTGGATAAACTTACCTTTTGGTACGCTAAAATGGTGGAGTTGTCCAAGACATAATAGGTTTGCTAAAATTGTGCTGTAGGGAAGCCTAATGGTATCAAGAGATTCAAGACTGAGATGAACTTGACACATGAACTCAAAGCAAGAAACCATTCATATAACATTACCATTCCGATTTAGGATCCGGATATTAAACTAAGTGATGGAGTGAACATTCTTGATTCCGACTCGGCTCTTGCCACTGCAAGCAATGGAGAGTCTAGTAAGCCAGGACCAATGGCTGTGCTATTCGAATGACAATGCTTCGAGTGTCCAATTTTAAAGGGGGAACTCCTGAGCTAGTTCATACATGCTATGCCGTATTGGTTTGTGTTCTTTTATTTTTTGTCATTATTATCGAAATGAAATCTTTTAATTTAAATTTCTTTCATTATTTTAATCAAATAATAATGACGCTGATATTACAAGTTCATTTTCCTTTTCCTTAGGTAGGCCTAGTTTCAGCCCAAGTTACTTAGCTGAAACCAGTCTCATTTCAACTCAATAGGTATTGTGATCATGGCCGTTGTCTTTACATCTTCCATAACCGTTTATTGTCTATTTGCATTATATATATATGTAGTCTCTTTATAGTCTATCTGCATATATTCTGTTTCCAAGATTCATAACAGTTCATAACTTCCCAATTTGCCTCTCAATTTCCATAGCCATGGCTGACAATACCCCTTCACCTATTGAAGTACCCTCTTTCTTTTTCTTTTCAATTGTTTTCTTTTTGACTAATTTGATGCATTTGGAGATTCTTTAAGGTTTCTTTCCTATTATCTTCAATTCTTTAAGATTTTTTTCAGCAACAAGAAGATGAGCAAATGTATGAGCCAATCCATGATTTGATGCCCGAGGAAGTTGTAACTCCAACCGGGACTGCAAAGACTGAGGAAAATGAACAGACGGAGGTTCCTCCTTCAACAAGATTCACATGGAAGATTGATAACTTCTCTGGTATACACGCCAGGAAGCTCTATTCAGATGATTTTATCGTTAATGGTTTCAAATGGTACATTGCTCATTCCCTTCCTCATTCTCCTGTTTTGGCGATGGTAGTTGAGTATTCATTCATACTCTTGATTTTGATTTCCGTAGGCGAATATTGATATTTCCAAGGGGTATGAACGTCGATCATTTGTCTGTGTATTTGGATGTTGCTGACTCAGAAAGTTTACCCTACGGATGGAGTAGATATGCACACTTCACTTTGACAGTAAAGAATCAATTTCATGATAAATATTCAGTCAGAAAAGGTATATATCCTTTTACCTTGCTGTATATACACTTACTGTTTAAGTAATGTTTTTGGGTATTAAAGCATGCTGAGTTTGTTTCTGGATATAGATAGTTTGTAACCTGGTTGCAGGAAAAAAAAATGATGATTTGATTTTGTTGTATCATGTCAAAGAGTATGTTTTTGTTACCCTCTGTTGAACAGATTAATATGGACTTGATGCAACTAAAGGCAGGTCAATTTTGATTAATTATAACTAATGTGAGAAAGAAACGTGACAGTTTGACCTGTTCATGATGCTATATGTTTCAATCTGGATTTCTTGATACCATTATCTATTTTTGGTGATTTGGAGGCACAGCTATTTTTGGCAGTTAGTATTTATTTATTTTTGAACTTTAGAGGATATTCTCAGGGTGATGTATTCCGATCTTAATCTCTTTTAAAATTCCTTTTTTATCCCTGTGAGCACAATGCTTTCCTTGCTTGAATAGCCTTTGATCTATGTTATTTTTTTGTGAAAAAAAAAGAATCTATATGTGGCTTACTAGGTGTGGTTGCTGGTGATATGTTAAGGTTTCACTTTTCACAATTTTTCTTTTGGAACTTGATATGTTAAGGTTATTAATTTGCACATATCTAACTTGCATCTTGCAGAAACAAATCATCATTTTAATGCAGGACAAGATGATTGGGGGTTTCCATCCTTTGTGCCCCTTGGTGAGTTACATGATCCTGCCAAAGGGTATCTTGTGAACGACACTTTGATTGTTGAAGCAGAGATTGTTGTCCGCAAAATTGCGGATCACTGGGAATATGACTCAAAGAAAGAAACCAGTTACATTGGTCTTAAGAATCAAGGAGCAACATGTTACATGAACTCTCTGCTTCAAACGCTTTATCACATTCCTTACTTCAGGAAGGCAGTTTATCATATGCCTACAACTGAGAATGATACGCCATCTGGAAGCATTCCTCTTGCTCTGCAGAGTTTGTTTTACAAACTCCAGTACAGGGACAGCAGTGCTACAACAAAAAAGCTGACTAAATCTTTTGGATGGGACGCATTTGACTCTTTCATGCAGCATGATGTTCAAGAATTTAATAGGATTCTATGTGAAAAACTTGAAGATAAAATGAAGGGAACTGTTGTGGAAGGCACCATACAGAAACTGTTTGCAGGGAACATTGTGAGCTTCATCGAGTGCATTAATGTGGATTATACATCTGCCAGGAAGGAGTCATTTTATGACCTTCAGCTTGATGTTAAAGGCTGCCGAGATGTATATGCTTCTTTTGACAAGTATGTAGAAGTTGAACGCCTTGAAGGTGATAATAAGTATCGGGCTGAACAATATGGATTGCAGGATGCTAAGAAGGGCTTGTTGTTCATTGATTTCCCTCCAGTCCTTCAACTTCAGCTTAAACGATTTGAATATGATTTTTTGCGGAATACCTTGGTCAAGATTAATGACCGTTATGAGTTCCCTTTGCAACTTGACCTTGACCGAGATGATGGAAAATACTTATCACCAGAAGCCAATAGGGGTGTTCGGAATCTTTACACGCTTCACAGTGTCCTTGTTCATAGTGGTGGTGAGCAGGGTGGACATTATTATGCATATATCAGGCCGACTCTTTCTGATCAGTGGTATAAATTTAATGATGAAAAAGTAACCAAAGAAGATACGGAAAAGGCATTAGAGGAGCAATACGGTGGGGAAGAGTTCCCAGAGACAAATCCCGGATTCAATAATACTCCACCTAGATTTAACAAATATTCAAATGCATACATGCTGGTGTACATACGAGAAAGTGACAAGGACAAGATAATATGTAATGTGGAGGAGAATGACATTGCAGAACATCTTAGGGAGAGATTGGAGAAAAAAAAAGAAGAAAAGGAAAAAAGAAAGAAACAGAAGGCAGAGGCGCACCTTTACACTATCATAAAGGTTGCACAAGATGATGATTTTGCAGAGCAGATTGGTAGGGACATATATCTTGATCTTGTGGACCATGATAAAGTCAAGTGTCTTCATATTCAGAAGCAGACGACTTTCATTGTGTTTAAGGAAGAGATTGCTAGAGAATTTGGTGTACCAGTGCAATTTCAGCGATTCTGGAAGTGGGCCAAGCGTCGAAACTTTTCCTACCGTCCAGAGCGACCATTGACACCTTTGGAGGAAACACTATCTGTTGGAACCTTGAGGGAGGTATCTAAGCCTCCCAATGAAGAACTAAATCTGTTCCTGGAAGTTGAGCGTGGACTGGATTTACGACCAATAGCTCCACCATATAAGACAAAGGAAGATATTTTACTTTTCTTCAAGCACTATGATCCTGAGAAAGAAGAGGTTCGCTATGTTGGAAGGCTGTTTGTGAAAAGGGCTTCTGAGCCAATAGAAAATTTGTCCAAATTAAACGAAATGGCAGGGTATGCTCCTGATGAAGAGATCGATCTTTTTGAGGAAATTAATTTTGGGCCCAGTGTTACGGGTGAACCTATTGACAAGAAAACCACCTTCCAAGCTAGCGAGCTTGTGGATGGTGACATAATTTGGTTTCAAAAGTCTGTTACCACCGAAAGTAGTAAGCAATACCACTGTCCAGATGTTCCTTCATTTCTGGAATATGTTCATGATCTCCTGGTTGTGCACTTTCGGTCTTTAAAAAAACCCAAGGAAGATGATTTCTCTCTGCTGTTTTCAAAGTTTACTACTTACGATGGTGTTGTTGAAAGAATAGCTCAGCAACTTGGTTTGGATGATCCATCAAAAATCAGGCTTACTCCGCAGAATTGTTACACTCTGCAACCTAAACATCTGCCTATCAAGCATCGTGGAGTGGATCATTTGATTGACATGCTGCTGCACAGAGGTCATACTTGTGATATTTTGTACTATGAAGTATTAGACATCCCTCTGCCAAAATTAGAAGCTTTGAAACAACTGAAGGTAGCATTTCATCATACTACAAAGGATGAAGTAAGTATATGATCATATTTAAGAGTTTGAGTGAATGACATTAAATTTTAGTTGTAATGCAATAAAATTCTGTACCATTTGATGCCACAGGTTGTTATCCAAACTTTTAGGCTTCCAAAACAGAGCACTGTTATGGATGTGATTAAGGATCTTAAGGCAAAAGTAGGTTTTCTTTCATTTTTATGGAAAGAATGTTTTAGGGGGGGTCATTTTTTTAATGTGAATCATCATGTTGAAACAGGTGGAGTTGTCTCATCCCGATGCAGAACTGAGGTTGCTTGAAATTATCAATCACAAGATCTACAAGATTGTCCCACCTGACGAGATGGTTGAGAACATAAATGACGAATACTGGACATTGCGGGCAGAAGAGATCCCAGAGGAAGAAAAGAATCTTGGCCCAGATGAACGCCTAATCCCCGTATTCCACTTTTCCAAGGAGAGGTATCAAACCACGAATTTTGGCGAGCCCTTTTTGATGATGATTCGTGGAAGTGAGACTTTGGCCGAAGTAAAAGTCCGAATACAGAGGAAGCTGCAAGTGCCAGACGAGGAGTTTGCCAAGTGGAAATTTGCCTTCATCTCACTTTCCCACCCACTGTACCTTGAAGATTCTGATATCGTAGCCAGTGGTTTTTGGGACCCGGCTGCTGATGGTCTTTGGGACCAGTGTCTTGGATTGGATCACTCTAAAGGACCTGGTACAGTTCCTCAGAACCGACCCAATGTCGAGAAGCCAGTAAAAATCTTCACTTAGGGAGAGCATTTGACAGCCGGTGAAAAATGTTATATGGTGCGAGTATGGTTGGGTTCTTTTTTGCTGCCTGCTTGATTTTGTCCCTGTGATAACATTGACCAAAAAACTTGCATTGCAGTAAAAATTTGTATCGATCGATTCCTACATCAAATATCATTTTTAAGAATCACATTTTCCATCTTGCTTCCATTTTAGCATGTTCATAACTCGAGCTTTTAGTGGATCTCTCATTCATAAGGCCATCAAAAAACAATTGAATCAACGATGTTGAATGCATTTCAAGCCTACCGGAATCAGCATCGGGAATTCAGATGCCACCACTCAAGCATTAATACGAACCTTTGAAAGAATTAATATTACACGCGAATAAATAGAGGTTAATTGCAACAAACAATCTCGAAACATTTGAATGCACCTAATTATATCAATACAAACAACTAAATCAGTGGCAAGAAACCAAATATCTTTAGATGACAGCAGCAGCCGGCCAGTCTTTTAATTCCAGCAACTCAAAAGAACAACTACGAGCTGCTAAACGAGATATATCATCCATATATACAGAATGGCTGCTATAAATAAAAAGGATAAACCAGGTTGCGGGAGTGAAGAGAAGGATAAGAGAAATTCACTTGAATTCGCTTACGCTACCCTACCCTACACAAAACTTGCAAAGTTCTTTACCATACAAAAAGTATCTATGAAGAGGCACTCGCATCTTCACCACCTGAAGTTCTGAAGCAAGCGATTTTCAGTTTCAACCATTGTCGGTGGGGAAAGATATAAAAAGGACATCTGCATCACAGCAAATGAGAAATAGTAAACTATACAAAGTCACATGTGATGGTTGACATGGCATTTAATAACCATATTTCTAGCAGTGCAATAAAAAAGGAGAAACATAATTAACAATTATAGCTAGCAACATAAGACTTGAGCTACAACTCTATTCGGCTTACCTAGGTCAAGAACTGTGAGCAGCTATACAATGATAGCTGCAATCGTCACATTTTAGTGGACATGAGCTTTGCTTTTTTCTCAGCTGGCTTGAGAATCTGGAAAGAACACATCAAGTTTTCATCGACACTCATCATTGCACCAGCATTATCAAATTCACCACAGTAGTTAGGTGCTGAAAATATTGTAACAAGTTGCCTATCGGCAAAGAATTCATAACCATCCTCCACAACCTACATCCACAATGCAATCAGTTCAGCTCTAATATTGATCAGCTTTTAATAGATAAACAGGAGAGTTTAGACAAGCCAGTAACCTGATGTGCACGACAGACAAGATCTAAATCATGTTTCTCTAAGAATTCCGCCACCTTGTCCGCCCCAAAAGTGAAAGAAACTCCTCTGTCATTCATTCCCCATCCTCTAACATCTCTATCAGGATCAGACCAGAGCAAATCACACAGCAAGCCAGTGTCAGGAATGGCTGTAGGACGATATAAGTGTCTAATTTCATCTAGGTTCGTCAAGTCCGGGGAAAGGCCACCATGCATACACAATATTTTGTCATCTATAAGAGCCGCAACAGGAAGGCAGTTAAAACAATCAGTAAAGCTCTTCCAAAGTCTCACATTAAACCGACGCTTGCATTCATCATAAAATCCATATATTCGATTAATAGATGCACATTCATGGTTTCCTCGCAATATGAAAAAGTTCTCTGGATACTTAATCTTATAAGCAAGTAGAAGGCATATCGTTTCCAAACTCTGCTTGCCACGATCCACATAGTCGCCGAGGAATAGATAATTGGCATGGGGTGGAAACCCCCCATACTCGAAGAGCCTTAATAAATCACTAAATTGTCCATGTATGTCACCTAAATAAAAAGACAAACAAAAACTTTACAATGAGAAACAATAAATTACATCATAATGATGGTAGTACTAAGAGTTCCGTTCTAATAATATGCATGTTCCATTACACCGGAAAATGTCGTCCCAATCACAAATGCAACGTGCAGAATACATGATTTTTAATCTCTTCGTATATTCTTTCCTACAGCTTTCAGCAATCAAACAGTAATAAACAACAACAACAGCAATAAAATTACCCTCATCCCACCTCCAAAAGGAATGGTAAATTAGGCTTCCAAACTTTCAAATAGAAATGTGAAATTCACATCTTATCTGGTTAAGAATTATCAACTGAAGCCCTGAACATTATATTTCAATTCTTAAAAGGAAAAAATGCAACCTTTGAATCTACCACAAACAAGTTATCCACATTGATTCCCCCTAAAACACATAATAAAAACTCAAATTTCCTTCAAGACCCACAAAATGTTTTTTCATATCATAAATAAACATAAAGTTCAAAGTTATTCACATAAAAAAAAATCAACCCTAAATGGTTACCGCATATTTTGATGGGGGCTTCGAGTTCAAGTAAATTGGGCTGTTGAAGGAAGATATCTTTGGCAGCAACACAAAGTTGTTTGATCTCACTCTCAGAAAGTTGGACCTGTTTTCCCGGCCTGGCTAATCTGACTTCCGTCAGCCGTCTGATTATATCATCTAACAACGCGGGGTCCATCTTCATCGTCATCGTCGTCGCCATTAGATCGTCCTCCTTCAAAGACCCCCGATTTAACCAAACCCTAAAAGCTCAAAAGCGAAAGAAAACGACTTTCTTTTGTTTGAGCCTTTGAAGGTAAACGAGTTTCGGAGAAATGGAGGAAAAGATATTAAAACCTATTTTCTGGGTAAATAAAATAATAATTTTCTTTTTTGTAAGAGCGAGAAATTATTTCCCTGAATTTCCTCTTTTTCAAAGGAAGAGGCTTCCGGACGATGTCGTTTTATGAAGTTCTGTTGTTTTAGACCGTTCGAGTCCGGTTCATTGGCGGCGACGTCGGCTTTGCTTTCGAGTTTGAATCATCCATACACCTCCAACTTATATTAAATCATGGAATCTGGAAACGTATTTTAAAAAATAAATTGTCTTTGAATTATTATTATTTAATAAAAACATAATTTAAATCTGAATATTAAATCATAGAGTATTAATGTAAAATTATTTTATCAATATTTTATATGTTAATTGTTTGGTTGATATATTATAATATCGATTTCTCTTAATGTTAAATTTTAGGGTAAATTACACTTTTACTCACTGAATTTTATTTTCTTTCCTATTTCACCTGTCATACTTTCAAAATTTTCAAATTGTTCACTGCACTTTAGGTATTGAATGTTTTTTGTCAATCCGCAGCTAATTTTGTAACGGTGTTATGACGTGAAATAAATAAATAAATTTTAAATCATCTAAAAATATTATAAATGCCACCTCATAGAAAAAGGTAAACTATATTTGCTTTTCCATTTTTACTATTTCCTTCTTCTTTTTCTCCCCCTTCCATTTCTCTGGTTTTTGGAGTTTTTTTCTCTGGTTTTATCATATTTCAAAATCATTGTCTTTATAAAATTCCAAGTCCTCTCTTGTCTTCCCCCTCCTTTGTTATGTTGTTTCTTCTTTCATTACTCTATGTTTGCTATCTTGAAAGTTAAAACTGATTGGTAAAAAAAAGGAAAAATTTTCAACAATGGAGAAAGAGAAACAAATTTCACTCTCCCTCCGGAAATGATGGATACCCCATAAAAGACCCATATCGTCACTCCAATTACAGTTTGAATTACAAATTTTCTTCAATTATTTAATCTTTTTTTAGTGAACTCTTTTTCTACTTTTGATTTTTAGTTGTTTTCTTATTCACTGCATGTGCTTATTTTGTTATTTTTTTTAGAGTGTTGATCTTCATTTCATTATTTTTTGGTTTGTTCCTTTTGATGATGAGGAAAGATAATGAAGAAGTTGTGAGAGTGAAGAAGATTGGGGAATTGCTTATTTAGATTTTGACTTCAACTTGCTTAGAATCCATTATTTTTTGTGGCATTGATTTGATCCAAAATGATTTTCCCTTGATATTTATTTTTTCAAGCATCATATGATGCAATCGGACTTCATATTTTCCCTCTAATTTCTTCTGTCGACTTTTGAAAAATTATAAATGATGGTAGCACAATTCTTTTTGCAAATGTCGAAGTCAGTATTTGGTCACATCTCCTGTAAAGGTGGTCGGAAGTGGTCTATATAGCTGTCGCCGTTGTGGTCAGAACCTGGGTTCAAATAAGATTAGGGGAGAAATGGAGAGATGTGAGGAGGAGGAAGAACGATGAAAGAAGAGCCAAAATGAAAAAAAAATAGATTAAAATTTTGTCATTTTGATCTAAATTTAATTTTTTATAGAATCCAAAACTACGTCGTTTTGGTGTTGATTGCCACCTCATCACACCGTTTCAAAGAAAACAACGGAGTGACTAAAATAGTTCAATGTCTAAAGTTCATTGGTCAAATTGAAAATTTTGAAAGTACGATGAGTGAAATAAGAGAGCGAGTAAAGTTCAATTAATAAACGTATAATTTACGCTAAATTTTATATCAATTATATATATATAATATACTATTCGTCAACTATTTTATAAGACTATGTAAAAAACCGACTTATCATGAAATTTGATGTGGCAATTATAATTTATTTTAAAAATATATGATATACAAACTCTTTAGGATAATATTATCTTAATAAAGTAATATTATATAAATGATTTACAAAAAGTTCATTGAATATGAAGATGACAGTGAAATATAAATAAATATAAATTAAATATTAACGTATTTAAAATCAAATAAATAAATACGAATATAACTTTATTCGTTAAAACTTAATTCATTTACGTTCTATTTTTGAACACATACCCATGCATGATTCGATTGATTTTCTTAGAAGGCGGTTTCCTTTTGTAATAATAGATTAAGGTATTCTTCAATTAACTACAATTTTTTAATCATAATATCCTTACTTGGGGTGAATACTGGATAGGGTCAGAATTAAATATTGACATGAGTCAAAATATTGAATTTTTTAAAGAAAAATATAATAATTTATTTAGAATTTAAACTCAAAATTCAGAAAAAATCTAATTTTAC